GAAGAAAAGCGAGTTTTCACAATCACGGGGAGCAACGCGGCGCGATGCCTGTTGAAATATTCGATCGTAACTCACGTGCGTACGCCGGACACGTACGAATGGACCACGACGTTGCCTTTTGACGTAACCATCTGTCGCCGTGATACCTGCCAGCTGATTAATACGAGACGATTAATGCCGACTTTCACCGCACGTCACTTCTCGCAATAATTTCCTTTATGTATCCATAATATTATATTTCTTCCTTCGCCCTTCTCGTCTCGCTCATTTTCTTAATCAGTAATAGTCACGATATTCAGCATTTCTGCGTTTTGTAACAAAGGAAAGTTAATGAGAATAAAGTATAGAAATGTTTTTTTCTTTTTCTTTATGTTATAAATGTTAGAAGTTGTAAGTAATGGTGGTAGTATCTTCAGCTCTGGCCAAGAAGCGGGCTTGATACATTACTTTTCTAACACAATTATCTCTGTATACTAAGAGAATGAAATGGTTGTAGGTGTTCGAACAATGCAAATTACAGCTAATTCAACAGAAATTTTTGTAAAACGTAATTTACTTTACTTCTAGTTGTAAGCCACGGATATATAAAATCATTATAACTCACAATACAATTTTTACGTTGGTTATACAGCACTATATGCGTATGAGGTTATTATTGCAAACATTATAGTAGCAATTCCTATAAAAAGGAGTATCCTGGCTGTAATTATTTTACTATTATAAAGCAATTATGGTTTCAAATATCACACACTTTTCTCTAAATGTGCCTTTTAACACTATATTACAATATTGCGCACGATGTACACGCAGTTACCATAACACGATAAAACAGAGACAAATTAAATTGAACATTTCATAACATATCTTGTTTTTGCTCCTATCGCATTCAATCATCGTATTTCTTATTTATTAGAAATGTATGTATTTCTATGAATTTGAAAAGTAACAACTGTGGCTTATCTTGAAAACTGTAACTTATCTTGAATACGATCGGAGCCATTTAGTAAATAACCGATATGAATTATTACTGTGATAAGAGACGTTAGACTCTGTAAACAGGATATTAACCTCGTTTCACCCAAGTTCGAGATAACGTTCACCCAGAATAGTGTTTAGCGAAGCATTTGTCACGTTCCTTGCGCTATGACCAGCGATACGATAAAAATCGTAAAAATATTTTTCTTCGAGTAATTACGAAAACTTTTCTCGTCTAAGCGATATCGCTCTTCTCAGTCAAGCAGCTGGTCAAGTTCTCAAGTTGACGACTAGAGAACTTTTTCTTCACCATTTCTCGCCGTGAAAATTTTCTATCTTTTTTTTTTAAATAGAATGGAATCGCTGTCGCGCGTATTATCCGATCGAATCGTAAGTAAGCAAAAACACGCCATCGAACTAGGTCGCTAAATTTCAAACGATTCTGACTCATCTCTTCGTCGAAGAAGAGCGAAGAAGACAATCAGCATTGATCGCCAACGATAATGCTATGCGTAGCTACGATTGCGCGAGAGCTATCTTCGCAATTCCAAGTCATGATCTCATAATGACGCGACATTCCGCGCGAGTTTAACACAATTACTAACTCGTCGTGCTAATAACTCGAAGCGCAATACTGAGCCTGTTTTTACGGTGCTCATTACTCGGCGAGCTGCGATAGGATTAGGCGTTTAAACGACGATCATCGTTTTATTATTTGTTTTACTAAATCTCGCAGCCTCCTCCGCGCACAATTTAGTCACAGATCATTTGTTTTCTCAAGCAAATGTGCTGGTGATTATGAAAGTAGGCTAAATCATATACATTTTCTATTTTTAGGTATTTTAACTTTTACGTTTCTAAGTATTAAAAAATATTTTTCAAAACACTTTTATGATATAAATTTCTTATGTCATTTAAAATTTTACGAGTAGTTTATAAAAAAATATGTTTTTTGATACCTCAAATAAGTTGGATACTTTTCAAAATTAATGATGAATCTCAAAAATTACTTGGAACAAAAGAATGTTGAATTTTTATTCAAAAATAAGTTAAAAACACTATTAATTTTTATCAATATTCTAGTTCTTTTTCTTCTTCGATAATAGAATTTCCAATTTTCGAAGTCTCCAAAGCTTTAAAATATTCGCAATATATTACAAAATTTATTTATCTAAACCACTATTTGATGACGTACTGAAAGAATAAGTATTTTCTTTTCCATAAAAAAATCCACCAGAGAACAAGTGATTTAAATCACTGTTAAAGTAAACATGAACTGAATTCTATTTAACGACACAATTACCAACGGTTCAATTTCCAGCTATTTGTCAAAAATGACCACATTATTATAATATAGATCGATGTAACACAAAGTATAAATAATAAATTCAATCTTTCAAGACATTTGACTTACAATTTTACAGTTTACTTTCATAATTCCAGGCACAAATGTATAGTCAAGTGACGAAAGTCCTAAACGTAGAAAGGTATTGTCATGACGAAGCAAATTACAGGGTTATCTTTGACAAACCGTTTTGCCGGGGTCATTCGCACGACATTTTGCGCCGCCGCTGGCAGCGATAAATATTTCGCGTATTTGTATTAGCAGGGAAGCTATAGAATGATGAGTACGGACGATGAAATTGTGAAATAATGTGATTATATGTGACAGAAAAATATAGGTGTTAATGCCGGCGACAGGCGACGGAAAAATTCGACGATAACAGGAGACAGTGTGCGCTTGTCGTCGTCCATCGGTCGTTCGTGCGCGCACCGTACGTACACACGCGTACGCATGCATTTTTCATAGTCGCGTTCAACGCAGCGCACAAGTGTGCCCATGCGCATTGATGCATCATTTACCGTTCGGTATAATTTTGCATTTCATGCCGCACACAAGCCCTTCCGCGCGCTTCCTCTTATTACTTCCTAGATAGACTCGCTATTCCCGTTCAATTGACGATCGGGTCGCGTCGCGACAATGTAATACGTTGTACGCGATTCAGCTTCAACATTGATCGCTTTCCAGCTGACAACTAAGCGGAACAAAAGCAAATTCCAGACATTGATAATTAAATAACAAATTAATGATTGACGAAAAAAAAAAGAAGAATTTGGCGGAAAAATCGCAGAGAGGATTTACTTTGGCAAATCCGAAGTAGGAAAATTATCAGTATCCGTTGCTTTTGCCGATTATTTTCGTAAAGTAGCAACGAAACATTGGCAAATGTCACTGAATGGGTATAAGTGCATTTTTGTAGTGGAAGAAACATTGTGAAATTTATCCAACCAAGTTATTTCGCACACACAGCTTGTCCAAATATTATTCAAACATCTCGGAGTTTGTTATCACGTAACTAGCACTTTCCCATTCATTATTGCCTAGCGTTGTAAATGCCGGGTCTGACATCTTTAGATTAATAAAGACTATGTATCTCTCCTGTCGTGTGTGGCGTAATACGAGGCTCGTGACAGCGAAACCGTGTCTTAGGCGTGTAACTTTCTCTCAACTCCCCGATGGCCCCGTAATTCCCTCTTACGGCACATTTAGCGCTAATAGGGACGATAATCGATGATCCAGATATTCCGACAGGTTCCGGACAGTGTTTGCCGATTCACGGACACGAAAAAGAACTAGACTTGGCGAGCGATAAAATTAGAATAAACCGCACGAATTATCGCATCGGTCGCTACTTTGCTTGCAACGTGTTTCTCGCCGTCTTGAGAGTGTTCTTTTTCTTTTTTTTTTTTTTAAGAAAACGCGTACACACGCGTGCGCGCGCGCACGCATATTACACGCATGTGGAATTCCACCGGGGGTGGAACGAAGGTAGCTATGTCCGGTGCATTGTTCCCGTTCCGTGGCTGCTGCATTCGGCGGAACGCGGTAACGCCCTGCTAAACGTCTGCCCGTTACTATGAAATGTCAAACATTGCCCATCGGCATAACTCACTCGCAACTATCTTGATTGCGAATGTATGCTTTTCTGAAATTCCGCCGCGCATTCTGGTCGTCGCGCCGACCGTCGGCGAATCGAGTCGTTAGATTCGCACGTGATAATTCGATCGTGTTAGCATTTCAGACGGTGCTCGGAATCGTCTTTCAATATTTTTAATACGACGATCATAGATGCGGCAGTAACGACGAAAGTGGACTGAGTGAAAAATCTTGAAAAATTGAATTTATTATTTAATTGTTTTTGGAAAAATAGTTGAAAAAATTGAACCGATTAGTGGCATCGATAATTGTGTCGTTAAGCAGGATTCGGTTCATGTTTGACAGTGGCCTATAAGTCACTTGCTCTCTGATAACCTTCTGTTTTATGAAAAAGAAAATGTTTAGTCTTCCGTTATGTCATTAAATAGCGATTCAGATAAATAAGTTTTATACAGTAAAAATGATATTAACCTTTTGTCAGCAATCATTTTTTACTAACGCCGTCAGCAATCTGTCGTTCAGTTTTTTTTTTATGTTCTAGGCTTTCAAAAATTCTTGGTTACTTCTCAAAGTCTCTAGAATACCATTCAATAGTTTTCAATGTTTTTTTAGGAGGAGGAAACAAACCCCACTGTCTTTATTCCTCAGAGAAATTCGAGAAAGTAATTTCGCTTGTGCCTTGAAAGACCTAGATTGCTGACAAAGGGTTAAGAATATCTTGAAACTCTCGAGATTTGAAAAATTGGAAATCCTACGATCGAGGAAGAAAAAGAACTAGAAGAAATCGATGAAAATTTATCGTTAATTTTAAAAACGGTCACTTGAGGTATGAAAAACATATCACGGAAAAGATTTACGTTATCAAAGTGTTTTGGGAAGGATTTTGTTTCATGATAAGAAAATACTTTTTAATACAACATGCAAAAGTCGAAATATCTGAAAACAAAAAATATATGACCATTTTCATAATCACCGGTACATCATAATTTTCGTTTATCAAGCACAAAAGTCATGATATTAGTAGTAGCTGTCGTAGTAGGAGTGGCCACTTTAGTCGCTAAACAATTCCTATTTGTGTTTGTTACAGAGAAACGACAACCTCGACCTGTCTTTGAACGTTCCACAGCATCATCAAACATCGTATCATCACGACGGCTACAATATGTCCGATCAGGTGAGTGAAATTGCAATCCATTATCCATCGACAGTCATTCTATTGGCAATTTCGCTAAAATGAAACGCTTATTAAGCGTTTATTTCTCGTTTTTTTAACAGTTACATATCGGTTGTGTCGTTTATGCCATCTACGTAATGCAAAATATTCTTGATTAAAAATTCCAATTACAATATATAAGTGATATAAAATGGAAATGAGATGACGGATTCTTATTTAAGTCGATGGCTCAAGTTTTATGAAAATGATGATGAACGATGGAGAAAATAAAAAGTGGAACGGGATGTAAGCTGGCCAATTACCGAAATACGGAATTTAATATCCTTTAATTTCATTGAAATGGAAATTGCCCAGCATCATTTCCATTAAGATTCCTCGGCCGTGCCTTAAGCTTTGACTATTGGATTCTCGCAGCGGTCCGACATCGTCAGACCGCGTCTGACCTCGACACGGAACGACATCGAGCGATCATTCAAAAAGGGGACTCGCAGAAATTTCTTCATTATCCGTTCTTGTATGTTCTCGTTTTTCTTCTCATTTAAACTGATGCGGACGGATGAAGAACGGACTGGCAACGCGATCGATTTAATAGCCGTCGGTTACGCCGATGCTTAAAGTAATCTGCTTTTACGGCGCATCTCCTTGCGATAGCGAATTCGGAATAGATTAGCCCGATGCATCGATAATCGCGTCGGAAAGAATATCTGAAAAAATCAGAGTAAAACTGGCAGCCGACGAGCACCACGGCGCAGCGTCTCGACCGAAATGTAGGACGGCGACTCGCCTCGCCGGTCGCTCGATCCAATCTAAGCGTCCAGTAATTGGCAATCTGCGATAAATAACCATCGGTTATAATTTCATTGTTTAATAAACGCACGAATGCCTGTTTCGATTTCGCGGCATTAGGCATAATAAATCGGTCGATAACGATGTCCCAATTCTCGCGGAATAATCGCCGGCGAAAACTGATTATCCAAAACAAATTGCATTACAAGCATCACACTTGGTTACACTTACATGCGTTCTGAAAAATATCAGCTTGTATATGATAAATGATTCCGGACTTTCTCGTGTTATTTTTTTTACGCAGCACGCTTGAAAATTCGCGATTCGTGCAAAACTTGATTGCTACTTCGATAAACAAATATTTCATTTTCGTGTTAATCCTTTCGAAACGGGAGCTTTCTAAGCAAAAAACAAAGTTACCTATACAAGACATTGTTTTCCAAGGGTTGCTGAATTCGATTGCGAATTCCAAAATGGCGAATCAAATTTCAAAAATATTAGTCTGATTGTTGTGAAACTTGGTTTTAGAGGATTTTTAGGATTACTGAATTCAAGTGTCACTTGAGAATTTCAAAGTTCAAGGTTATAGTAAAAACTCCTTAAAACTGAGTTTCAAGATTAATTGAGATTAGGTTAGGTTTTTAAAATTTAGTCTTGGTCGAATTTCAAAATTTTGAGGTTATATTCGAATTCAGCAACCTGAAAAATCGAGTTTTAAGATAATCCGATTATTTTTGTTGAAATTCGGCCATATTGGACCTGTCATTTTGAATTTTGTATTTTTGATCTCAGATTTAAATAAAGCATGAACAAATGCTCTTATAGGCCAAGTAAAAATCGAACGAGCAGTTTTAAAAATAAAGGGGAGTGTCCTCTGTAGCGCACGTCCGTTCGGAAGGGGTTGATCAAGCCGCGCTTCGCCCGACAATAAAAGTAGACAGATTTATTGGGAAAAAAAAACACGAAATTACTTATTACACAATCCAATAGTTGCACATCGCGATAGATTCCTTTTTGTTCTAATTTGTTATTTATTCCGTCTGGCTTCGAGAAAAGATCGACTGAAGAAAGTTTCGCAGAGCGACGTGTGTATCTTTACGGAAGCTGCACGCGAAACGGTAATATTGCAAGTCGGCGTCTTTATACTTAAAACGCTCTCCGTAAAAAAGTTGATCCAATTCCACGTTTTTACGATCGCTTCGCTCTGCCGTCTATTCCTGCTCCGGCGAAGCTAGAAATTCAAGTCTTGTTCTTGAAACGCGTCCAATTCGTATCGCGTTAATAAATGTATTTGTAGCGCTGCTTAATGCAAATCTCTTATTTATATTCCATCTGTTTCGTATCTTTAGATTTTATTTTCGCTTCTCTCTCCTCTCCAGCCGCTAATTTCGCGTCGCGCTTGCTCGATCGCACTTTCTCCGTTGCATTCATTAATTATTTAGTAACTCTCTCGGGTCGATATCAAGACATTCGCTGCTTTTTTTTTTTTACCCCGCAGCTGGTCTCTTTGTCCGTCTCTGTAGCACTTTCTAAATCGCTCGCGCCGTACACAATCTCATGCCTCCATCGACGGCGCGGACTAAATAACAGCTGTTCATTCTTACGCCTGAACTTATTTCTTATGTCTTAGAGTTTTCGCAAGAGCATTCATTTTTATTTCCATCGCATTTACGCTTGAAAGTCGCTTATTCGCAAGAAAATTTATCCGCACTTGCACTTTGTATCCAAATAATATGTAATTTGCGAGTGCGAGCGCGAAATCGAAGTTGGATGAGCGGTGACTGCGGAGGGGGCTGCGGAGGGGGTGTGGGCTTGGTTGCGTAACCAGGAAACCATCTAAATAATATTTCTTCGGGAAGAAGAACCCAAGTTGCGAGAGTCGCGCGCAAGTTTTAACGAGATGGCGGAACGAGTTTAGTTCACGAGGAAAAGAAAAACGACGAGGACGACGACGACGACGACGACGACGACGACGACGGGGTTGGGGGGGGGGAGGGACGAAGTATTTACTTCGTCGTTGGCTCGCCCGCTCTCCGACTCAGCGCCCCATCGCGACTTTCCTTGCGCTTCTTTTCTTCCTCTAATTCTTCATTTACCTGCGATTCGATGTGATTCGCAAATTTAATATCGCTCTAAACAAGAGGCGAGGTGAAAAATGATCCGTCGCGCAAAGTGGCGGTATCGCGCAGACGCCGAGACGTCGTAGAAGCGTTTAATTAACAATTCCGTTGAGGGGAGGTGATCGGTTTTTTGGACGTATTCGGCCGGGACGTGCGCCACGCACGAATTAGATCGTTAATGTCCGCTGCGAGTATCTGGGCGCGTAAACGCGAAATGGATTTCGCGATAAACGATCCGCGGAATTGGGCGTAATAAAACGATTAATGGCACGTATAAATCTGGTTTACGCGCAACAGCGCCGACCACACCTGCCCCGCTCCGCTTCGTCGTCGTCGTCGTCGTCGTCGCGCGATCACGCGAGTCGCCGCGGCGCGCAATTATCCGCGTTTGCCGATTCGACACTGTCGCGCGATGTCATTTCACCCGCGATACTTTAATAACGGCAAAATAAAGCGGGGGAGGTAGGTGAAATATATACACTGTAGCTATACAGCACGCCGGGGCCGATCGATAGGCACCGGGCGTGTTTCTTCAAAGGAAAATTCCTGACGCTATTAAATCCAATTTCAAAACTTTTATTCTCCCTACCATCGAGCGCGCGCGCGCGCGCACGCCACGGCAAATTTATTTTCCTTCCCCTTTGTGAAGGGGAATAAATTGCTAAAAGGATTCCGAACAATATAACGCTATCTATCATCCGCCAAGGGACGGGCGGAAGGTTGATTCTTTGATTCCACTTTCACGTCGACCTCTCCTCTCCTCTCCTCGCCGTAGAGGCCCTTCCTCCCCTCAAAAACTTTTCTTCCCCGTCGTTCTCTCTCTCTCTCTCTCGATCGTTTCATACGAAGATGTTAACAACCAACAGGAAAGCCTTTTCGTTCGCTAACGATAACTCGCTAATGAGGGAAAGTCGCGCAAATCCACAAATGTAATATAAACGAGGCGGGAGTATAAATTTTTTGCTTTCTACAAATCTCGTAGGAAAGTCGACAAATTCGATATCGTTTGTTTTCAGACATTTCACACGCCGAGCTTCGGTGACGAGGACTTTGACATACCGCCCATTCACCCTCACTCGCATCAGCAACAGCAGCAGCATCAACAACACGACTCCATGCAAGCGTATGGTCAGCCGCAGGTACGCCTCGACGATGATACACAAGTATTAATTAGAGCTTAGACAAAAGATCCGAACAATTTTGAATTTAGGTTAGGTAAGCCAATCTTTCCAACAATTTAGAGTTTAAGTTGGGTAACCTAACCTAATCTAACCTAACGACTTGGATAGTCTGAATAGTTTGAACGTAAGCGGTTATTGATCTGTTAATGTAAGTTTGTAAAGTCTGAAGATTCGAACGGTAAAAAAAAATTTTGTTTTTATTTAATTTGATACAAATTAATAAAATCAACATCGTGTCGTTTTTACGTTGAAATATTCAAATACTTTGAATCGTTCAAACTCGATATTTGAACAGTTCCATCAGCTGAAATTTCCAGGCACTAATATTAACGAAATCAAATACCGTCGTACGTTACATTAGGAGGAAAGCTTGACATCTTTTAAAGCCGAGCTCCGAAATAAGTTTTCACAAAGAAAGATCTTATATATTGCTTGTTCTTCTACTATTCTTCTTTAATCATTAAAATTTAATTCTCGAAACCCGTTTAGTAAAAGGATATTTTTGTTCGGTTGCCAGGATTTCTATATATTAGACCTTTCGTCGTTTAGTCAGATCATTGTGAAGCATTAAAAAGACTACAGCACAATAGCGCATAATAATACGCAACTGTTGGAACGTGAGAAAAAAAGAAAAACGATGTCGGAATGATGTATCGACCATTTAACAACTTCCGCATTCGGGCATTATTCATGTAACGTTCAAGACATTTATTTTTAGACGCACGCTCATCGTCTTCTCCCTCTCCCTTTGACCTCGAAATAAGGAGATAAAGAGATATTCAAACATGCAGTAGAAATTCTACGATCTTTATCAGTAAGAAAAGCACGTCGAGGGAAATAATTAATACCGCGTGATATTTCTTCACGACAAGGATTGATTTTCAATTATTTTTTGTTTAATTAATAACTATTTAAATTAATACCACGGTATTTATACTAACAGCATTATGCAGAATAAAGTACTCCGTGATGATCGTAAAGTCGCTGTTTTATTTCCACGAACTACGTGTTTAAATTGAAAGTTAGAAATCGGATAATTTCCAATACGCAAGCGAGACAGTCACAATTGAGAGTCCTTTTCCAATATATAAACTAGACAGTCATATAATTAAGAGTTTTTCTTTACAAACCAAAGAATGACATATATAATTCTGTAACGACAAAAAAATTAACAGAATAAAAGAACAAGACTGATCGCGGAGGAAAATTTGTTCATCGACACATTTAATATATATTTTTTAATTTATTTTACAATTTCTATCGATATATTTTGTATCAATTATACAACATTAATATTATGCATTAACAAGAACATTATTTTGTTGCGCTCTGACTTTCGCGCTTTGATTCTTATAACCTTTCTTCGTTTAATCTTCTTTATAAACTGCGCTGCAGTCTTTCGGCTGGTAAGCGGGACTGGCGCATTCATCAGCGTTCTATATACGTTAAATCATTATAGATGATGCAAGGTGGTGGTATGCAGCAATCGCCGGATGGTCTGAGTCTGGACGCCGGTGGATATCAGCAGCAACTCTATTTACAGCAAGACCATTCAATGCAACCGATCAATGTCAGGTGAGTACGACTTAATTATACGAGCCGCCATTAGCGTAACAGAACGTCGATTACGCGCGCTAGATTTGTTGCTTGGGATTTTTCAAGCGCGCAGCCACAATATTATGAATCGATTAACAGACGGAGGAAAAAGAGGGAGAAGGGAAAGAAACTTGCTTTCTAGCAAATTGAATTTCTGGCTCGTAAATTAGGCGGGACGGCGGGATATCAGTGCGCCGCCGCGCTCGAAGGAAACTCGAGAACCGAAACGTCGTATTGTCATCTTTCCTTATTCTTCGAGCTCGAACGGAGCCACGAACAAGCGGCGATGATTGGAGAATACGCGGCCCGAGGCGTAACAAAGCAAGATTAATGAGTGTCGGACACCCTCGGTTTCTCTGTTACTCATACGAGATCGTTCGCGGGCGCCGATGACGCTACGAAAGCGCTCGGCTCATTTGCCCCGCGAGTGGAAATCATTCCGTTACGATTGGGCATATCTTCGCCTCGTTAAAACACGCGAAACTTTGATCCCCCCGCGCGAGGTGGCGATTTAAAAATCGATAGCGAGCCGAGTCTGAAATTACAGCGCGCGTATTCTTCCGCGCCGTAAAGACCGCTTTGTAACGTTAACGGCGACAATTAGCGCGCTAATTCCGGAAACTCCACTCGAAATCCCGCGAATGGAAGATTGTTGAATTAGCGATATATTCCCGCGGTATATACGGCAAACATCGCGCACCGTCGCGCGCGCCGCGCCGTTTGCATAACTCCGAATTATGGAGATTTGACTTACCTCGTTATTGCACGCTGCCCCGCGGCAATTTCAGCAAAGCCAATTTTGATCATCGTCGTACGCAGTGCGACACGGAGCCCGGAGAGATCCCGGTGCACTCTCGTCCCGCGTATTGTTCTCCCGCTTGAAAATTACCCCCGCTTAATCCCGTAATACTCGCGCGGACGGGCTAGCTTCGCGTTTCGTTCGTAAGAATGGGCGAGGTCTTCGATGGGATTTGATATCGCAACGCGCGTAACACGCCGATTTCAATTATGAGAGCCGGTTGCGTTAAAGAGTTGAGCAAACCATATCATCCCGGTAATAGAGTGGAAATCTAATCGGCGAGAAATCGGGGGACTCGGTGCGCGATTCCTGCCTTTGTTTCCTCAACAATATTTCTTCTTCGTTTTTTCTTCTTCTTTTTTTACACGGGAATGTTAATGACGCTTCTCACTGCCGTTAGGATGAGGCTTTACCGCGAGAGACGGAACGTTGCTTTCTTTGTTCCAGACAAAATGAAGGAAAATCGTCGACGAATGTATGAACAGATATACGCGTATGTATATGCGTGCGTGCTGCGCGTCTCCGCGTACCTGCGTGCATCTACGCAAGAGAAGTAACCGAGGCTATGATTTACCGTGTATTAAGCCTACCGAGTAACGTTCGTGAGAACCTGTCATTACGTAGTCTTACGACCGCAATTTAGGACGTCGAGACTTCTTTTTTTTTTCTTTTTTAACAGCGAACAAACGTATTTCCGAGATGGAAAATGACGGTGGGTGTCTTCATAGCCCTTCGTCCAGAAGTACTCTTCCCCGGAGTGAAGCGTACTTTGCTTTTCGAATTACGCACTGTAATCGGTCTGGTTAGAAGAGAGAGAGAGAGAGAGAGAGCCGTACAAAAGTATCTAAACGCGCGCTATCGTCTCGACGCAGGTCAGTACGCCGTGAATCGATGATGCGCGGATGATGCCAAGAGTTATCTGGCCGCCGTTGTCTTCTGCACAACATGACGCACAGACCGCCAATAATCGCGCTCTTATGTAGGATGTTGTATCGCGGGCACGGCGACGCAGCCTTGTAGATAAATCAATAGATAGCGGGAGGAGGTATTGTACAAATAATTATTGAAATGTACGAAGGTGCTGGCGCTGCGTCGCAATGGCGACTACTACAGCTGAAATGTAATTAGTTACTTCTTTAACGCGAGATTGCAGAGAAACTTGATTACGAAATACGGAGCGGTGTCGAAATAAAGAAAGCATTGGAACCTGTTTTTCAACGGAGCTTTCTTTCCTTCCGAGCTCACAGATTTCAAACTGACGATATTACGTTACGCGCCATTTACATAAAAAGTACCTTTACGTAAAACGTACTATTTTAAGAGCCAGGCAATTTATTATCGAGGCAATGTCGTAAAGTTTGATACATCGTGTAAACGAATTGAAGTTGAAATAATATGCGTCGGTGATTATGAAAGTGGGCCAAGTCATATTTTTTTATTACGTAACAAAATATTTTCGTAACAAAACACATTACTTTTATAATGTCAATCTTTTTCTCGATTGCAAAACTTTAGCGAGTAGCTTGTAAGAAAATATGTTTTCGATGCCTCAAGTGACTTGAACCGTTTTTAAAATTAACGATAAATTTTCATCGATTTCTTCTAGTTCTTTTTCTTCCTCGATCGTGAGATTTTCAATTTTTCAAGTCTCGAAAGCTTCAAGATATTTCTAATGTTATTTTATATTATTGCGCAATACTTATTTATCTGAATTGCTATTTGCTGACATAATGGAAGAGAATAAGTATTTTCTTTTTCATAAAACAGAAGTTTACCAGAGAGAGAGAGAGCAAGTGACTTGAGGACGTTTTGTACGTACAATCGTAGCAAAAAGTTGCTGAAATTTGATTTTGACGAATATATGCTCTTCTCATATAGTTTGAGTAATAAAGATTGCACAGAATCTTATCATTTATTCACAAGTAGAGTGCAGAAATGTACTTTTGAATTTCTGTTGTTTTTTTTTTCTGAGAATTTTCGAATTTTCCGAATTACGCTTGACGTGCGGATAAAGGTTAGTTGTGTTTATCCACAATGTCAAAAGTAGGCCCTTATCGATGGAAAGGAAAAACAGTGACCAAAAAAGTATATGAAAAGAAACTTCTTCAACAAGAAAAAATTTTTTCTATCCGTTTTAGCTACTTAAATCAACACGGTCACACGTTTTGCATAAAGTCACGGGTGAATTCGTTGCAAAATCCTTATAACTTTTGATTGCTTCAGTGAATCGACTCCGAATTTTGTCATAAATCTCCGAACATATGTAAAAATAATCCTATAAAATTTTTGTTAAATTCCTAATATTTCAAAAATAGGTACCAAACATCCTTAAATCACTGTCAAAATAAATATAAACTGAATTCTGCTTAACGACGCAATTACCAGTGCCATTAATCGGTTCAGTTTTCAACTATTTTTCAAAAATGACACTTAATCCACTTTCATAATTTGCTGATACAATCGACAAAAATATAATCTCTAAAATACTCGATAAAAGAATACAAAAATTTACGAATAAAATGAAATCTATAAAATACTTAATATCGAAACGGCGTTTAATCATTCGGCGAACAAATAGAATAGAAAAGAAGAAGACAGATTTATTAGAGTTTCGAAAATGCTTTCGAATTTCGATGCCTGTGTACGTGTGGGTCGATAGAGACTGGAAGATGTAAATGCGATGCTCGATGGGGTTCGGCTGGCGAAGGAGAGGGGAAGGGGGGAGGGGAGGGGGAGGGGGAGCAGTGAAAACGTTAGAAACCGGGCTGAAGCAGAAGAAGGAGGACAGAAAGGAAATGATATAGAGTAGGCCGTAAATCCTCCGACGCTGACGCAGCGCCGACCATATCTCAAAAGTTATCCAATTTGCGTTAAAATAGCGAAGGCATTCCAGCTGTATACGTATTCACCTTCTTTCGCCAACATCGCCGTTCGAAGCCTCGTTTTCTCAATGCCGCATCTCGGCCAAAGAGCAATTTACCCCGCGATTTGCTTATTATTCGCGCAAGCTCGTAATGCACGAAACACTCTGCGCGTAAAAATATTCGCAAACAATTTCTGCATTTTTTTTTTCTTTCCTCGTTCTTTCTATCCGAGTGTCATGACACAGCGTTATCCTTGCGATTTACGATTATCTTTCGGTGAAAATCTCCAAAGATGCGCGAATCGCGACGAATCGAGAAAAATAATGACTTGCATCAGAGGAAGCGCTGAGAGCTACAATTTTATTCGCGATTCGATCTCCGCGATCGCCGCCAGTCATCTCTTCGATTTCGGAAGAAGTATTTTTGAGAAGCAAAACACGTCCTTCCGTTTGTCCAACAGCTCGGCATACGGCAACACCCAAGGGTCGTACGCGACGATGAACTCCCCGCGCCAGCAGCACAATGGTCAGCAATTGCTAATGATGCAGCAACAGCAGCAGCAGCAGCAGCAGCAGCAGCAGCAAGCTCAGATGCAACATATGCAGTATATGCATTCCCAGCAGCAGCAGCAGCAGCAGCAGCAGCAGCAGCAGCAGCAGCAGCAGCAGCAGCAGCAGCAGCAGCAACAGCAGCAGCAACAGCAAATGCAACAGCAACAAATGCAGTACAGAAGTCCTACCGGCGGTAGCCCGACTGCCATGCAAGCCAACAATATCCCGGAGACGAATAATAATACTACGACCAGCGAAGACAGTGACGACAGCACTCCGCACTCCGGAATGGTGAGTCGAATCGCGCGCGACGTTTTACGCGCGGTTTTTGCTGGCGTAAATTTTCAATATCACACGCCGTGCGCACGGTACTTTCTTTTTACAGGAGGTTTAGCTTATCGAGTATATTATGCGCATCATTGTCTCTTGTATTAACGCCGTTAAATCCCCCCGGGAAAAAAAATTGCACAAACTAAGAAGAAATTTTTGTCAAAGTTTTCGATATTTCGCTAAAAGCGACTCCCCGGTTCTCTAAATATCCTTCTCCTTTTCAGATTACGGTAGTGAAGCGTGAGCCGCCGTCGCCAGAAGCGGCCGACGCCGGGGCAAAAAATCAAAGGAAAGCGAAGCCGCAAAAGAAAAAGAAGAAGAGAGACCCTAACGAGCCGCAGAAGTAAGTGACAATATCCTGATCTGTCTGGAAAAAAAAAGCGAAGAAATAGTTGGAAACACGCGCGAATCGGCGCTGCATCGCGGAATTTCATTTCGAAATCTCACTTTGAAAAGGCAACGTCGACGAATTTTCGCGATAATGATACTTTCCATATTTTTCCTCCCCCGCTTTTGTTTTATTTTCGACAATATACCACAATTCACAATTGAGTCGGCATTATTTGCATTTGCGCGCAACAAATACAAGGAATATATGTCAGAACCAAAGCCATAATGCGTCAACAATTCTATGTCCACATTCGCGGTGCTTTCGCATTAATATAAGTTATTGCCGTTATAAATTAGCAATTACTGTTATTGTTACAATGTAAATGTAGGACTGAGTAAATGTGTGATATGTTGGAACAACTGAACGAGGAATGAAGGGTGAGGGCGCGAGGGTGGACTCGACATAGTACTGTAGAATAGAATAGAGTGGAAGGGGGAAGAGGGGGGGGGAGAAAGAGAGAGAGAGAGAGAATATATTGTTCTATATCTGTTCAGAGGTATCGGTTCAACTAGGAACACAAATCTCTTGACCGAAATAGTCAAACTATTTATTTGAAGGGAAAAGTGAACAATTGCGACAGACATTGCAGAAATAATCGATCAAAATATTTACAGTTTTGTCGTATTTAGATGATTATTGCAATAACGCTGAACGAGGAATGAAGGACAGCATTGTCGTATTTAGATTATTACAATAACAAGTTTGCTGTAAATTCTTTAACACTCGTGTATATTCTCTTGAATTGTTGTAGTAGCGAGAGCACCGGCAATCTTAATTAAAACTGCACGAGCAATTCTTTATTTAAAAGCTTATACGCTGATGATTGATTTTTCAGGCCAGTATCGGCGTACGCCCTTTTCTTTAGAGACACACAGGCGGTGATTAAAGGGAAACATCCAAACGCCAGCTTCGGCGAGGTCTCCAAAATCGTCGCGTCGATGTGGGACGCGTTGGATCTTGAGCACAAAAATGTGAGTACTAAAAAACTTGATAACTTTATCGAGCATCGTGTTTCGTAAATCGCTGTATAACGAATAGCTACGGATTTTCGATCAATTTTGATCCCACTGTCACCGAATTAATGCGTCAATCTTCGCGCAGTACTACAAGAAGAAAACTGAGGCGGCCAAGAAGGAGTATTTGAAAGCTCTCGCGGCGTACAGAGCGTCGCTCGTGAGCAAAGGCGCCGGTGAAAATGAACAGAAGCAGCAAGCGCAACAGCCGCAGCAACAAATGCAATACAGCGGATACACGGGCTATCCCAGTAACGCTGCGCCGGGCGGTGTAACATATCAAGTTTATAGTCCTCAGCATCAGCCACCGTCGCCTCAACAGCAACACCAGCAGCAGCAGCAGCAGCAACAGCAGATGGCTATTAATAAAAAGTCACCTCATCATTTAGCGATGCAAGGAAATCCCCAACAACAGGTACGGTTTGGCAAAAGAAATATCCGATTGCAATTAAATTAAATATCGAGAAGAATGATCTGATAATGGCGGATACGCGATCTTTTCGACGAAATTGTTATCTATATTATATCGGTGAAATTGCATAAGTTTCTTTTTCGTTTCTCCGTATATGTTTAAGACTCGCCTTGATTTTGTTTCGACAATTATTTGCACAAATATGAGTCACGGTGGAAAATGTGTGCGCAGTCTTGACGAAAGAGATCCATGTTCTTACTTTTCATAGGGTTTAATGAGCAATGTAATGGCGCCACCTCATATGACACAACAGCAACAGCAACACATGCAACAGCAGGTCTCGCAACAGCAATACATGCAGGTTGGTGCGCTTGCTTTTCCCGTATATCATCATTCAATATCTATATATGTTCTAAATGCAACATACTTAATAAGTCTTTGTAGATTGCGACACATAACCTCCTGCTACGTTACGTCACGTGTGGGCAACACTGGTATCAAATAATCTCTTGAATGCATCGATAAAATAATGTGATCTTAAGTGAAACGATCGTATACCTTTACGATACCCGTTATATCCTGCGATATTTTGTAACGTTGTAGGTGCCCCAGCAGCAGCAGGTGCAGCAGGTGCAGGTGCAGCAGCAACAGCAGCAACAAATAATACATATGAGTCCACCCAGAGCAGAGTTTATTAAATCCGAAGATATGTCGATAAAGTCGGAAACTCTGTCGAGTTGTTCATCGCCAGTAAATCCTTCGCAAGTGGCTATGCCGGGACAAGGGCCGCCACCGTGTATACATCAGGGATGCCCTAATCCTGCTATATCTAATAACGAATGGGAGGACGAATATTGCAGTAACGAATGTGTGGTCAGCCATTGCAGGTTTGTACAAGCGTTGCATTTGATTTCTCCGCTCGACTAACGCTCTGCATTTTATAGAAAGAGGCATATAAGCAATCGAGATTTTACACATCTCGCCAACATATTTTTTCTCTCTTTTCACAATTAATTGCAATTTGTTTGTTACGCATTTGTTACTTAAGAGATTCCTGTATATCTTCATTTTATCTGCTTTATTCTCCATTTCAGAGATGTGTTTAACACGTGGGTATCTTCAAATCAAAATCCTCAACAAAATTATTCCACGGTTAAATAAGTGTTCTGCAAGGGACGTACTTTCTGCATCAAAGTACTCAATGGCCTCACAACTTAATGGCCCGCTCTCTCTCTCTGTTAGCCTGTAAAGTAAGATATTTAAACGGATGTATATATAAGCTGATGAATGACAACTTTTTAAAATGTTAAGGTTATTTGTGCGATATACAATACTAGAGACATTAACAGTCTAAAATGTGTATGCAAATGGTAATAGTATATAGATATATTTCGATGAGTGTGTGCATGCTAATGAATGAGCGAGCGAGACAGCAAACGAGAGAGAGAGAGAGAGAGAGAGAGAGAGAGAAAGAAAGAGAAAGAGAGAGAAAGAAAGAGATGTGGAATAAAGATAAAATTGTTTCTTTTTAGAAAGAGAATTTAGGATGTATATTGAAAAGCCTTATCCAAAAACTCGTTACTCTGGCCAAAGGTCTTTGTTTGTAAGGAGTGTATTGTAAGTTGAGTAATTTAATAAGTGCATTTACACTTATTAGAAGTCGGATCGACAACCATCTTTTTTATACTCTCAGATACTCCTTACTGACAGGCAAGGCGTGCCAATTGTACAGACATGTGTTTCTTTTCTAACGTCATATAGAGATAGTGTCACAGTTTTTTAAAGTTTATCAGCAAACGAGACAAAGACTAGTTCTTTGAATTGAATTATCTCAACTGCGTTTCTAAACTTTTACACTCGTCATTGCGACATAGTCAACAAATAACACAGTACAAGCAAGTGAAAGCAGCATGAAACGTATAAAAATAAGTCTGCACTACGTTCCAACGTGTGTTTCGTTTGTGACGTGAGAGGGCAACGTGACCGAAGATGGGAGGAGGATTTTACAGTGAATTGTATTACGTGCCATGGCCGGTAATTGTCATGTCTTACTTTCGCGATGGGAAATATATTCATCTATATTTCCGACTAGGTGCACATGTTTTATCGCAAAACGTAATAATATATTGGACTAATTATCGACAGATGACGATCACTTTTCTCGCAATATAACTTTAATCTTTTATTCGTGTAACATGTGACTTTCGAGATGACAAATTACATGACTTCGTTTAACTCTCATCTTTCGTATGTTGCGCATCGCACGTATTGCATTTTCTTTTCCCGCAACAGAAGAAGTTTGATATATCTTATATAGTATCCCGATCTTTCATCACGATTCTCCCGATCTCTAGGAAAGTCATTCCGTCTCTGTTTGTACAACGTGGGATACAACCGACTGATAAACACGTGCAAAGCATCCATAATCGTATAATACCGTTCTCGCAGACGAATATAATAATAATATTAGTCCGTCGCGGTTTTAGAAGTACTACGCATTTAGATTAGGCCCATACGAGTAAAGCAGGATTTCATTACACAATTTATTTTTATATCAATACTACAAACAGCCAATCAATAGTACAGTAACAGTTTTCATATGTAAAATTTCGTACAGCAAAAAAAAAAGAAACGGCAACCAAATGAATCTGATATTTTCTTAAACGCATTAATGTTACACCGCGCGACGTGAAATCTTTTCCATTTATCTTAATTGCGCATTCTTTTTTGTTAGCTTTTCGAAAACGTGCTGCCTGTGTGGCTAATTAAAAACACACACACACACACACACACACATACTACCGCACTGGTTTAATACAAAATAGTCCACTCATATCAACAGGCCATGGAGAAATTGCAGAGAAATTTTTTCATGTATGTAAAAAAAATCCCGTGCCATGTTCGTACTTGTTCTGATCTTTCGAGTTGACTCGGTGGGAAATCGGCGCTGCCACGATAAAGTATTGGTTATCACGCGCAATGCATACGTTTATTGTTAAATTCAATTGCAGTGCACTTGTAACGTAGGCCTTGAAATAAACCGGTACAATGCGAAGAATTTTTACGTGTACAAAAGCAAAAGATATATATCTTACCAGTTCAACGATAATTTTGCAATCTCTGGCGCGGATGTGCGAATTGTCTGTTACGTGATGCATCTCCCGACAGTTTGTCCGAACGAACTGACTTTGTTTCTTTCTTTTCTTTATATATGAATTAATAAATATTTTTAATATTCTTACTTATTGTTTAATATCTTGTAAATACACAAAAAATATATTCTTAGGTTTGTAAGTTATAATGTAAACATAATAGAATATTGTATTATATTAATAATACAATTTGTGGTATATAATATGAAGACATATAAATATATATATATACATATATATATACACACACACACACATATGCATATAGCATTAAAAAGATAATTATACTTGATAACTCCGATAAGATAGAATATTAATTTACCCAGACAGCCCTTTTAGGTAATGGGACTGTACAAATATGTCTACGAGTTAATAGATGAGTAAACGCTGAAAAGTATGGGAAAAAATCTTCAATTGTTCATGCGTAAAGCATAGAAATTTGCGTAGAAATACAAGCGTGGCGTTTCGACTAATCAAATCCTCGACATAATCCGCCACAGTTCTGTAGAATTTATATCGTTCGACTGGTCGGGATGTCTATTCTTCATGCTTAATTTCTCACGCAAATTTCCGTGCAATGGGCTCAATCTTTAACATGAAAACAAAAACGCAATTTTTGCAACATTGATCATAATCATATAAATCTGTATCAGAAGAAATAAATTTAGAGGATATCGAGCATGTACTGTAGCGCTAGTACTATACAAATGCTAATATATCACGGTAATTTCCAATGGACTTATGTTAAATTTTTATTGTTTTATGTACAAAGACATGATTAAACGATTTCAGTCCCAATGTTACGATTACGGAGATATTTATTATCCTACCATTCCATTTAGAAATTTCAAATGTTTAATATTATGAAATCACTGCTCGGTTGTATCATAAAATTTTAAACGAGTAACGTGAATGTAAAAACAAAAATAAATACCTAGTTTTTTTTTATATTAACAAAATTAACATTAAAAGCACTATCGAATAATTTAAAAATATCTGTTTTAAAAGTAAATGTATTTAGTAAATAATATAATCAATGATTTTTTCATTTAGTACAATTTAACGATTATTATTTAATAAAATGACAAATTTTAAAGAATTTATTGTCGCACAGAAGGTTTATTTATTATAAAAATCCGATCATTGGTGAGAAGCCAGCGCAATATTAGAAGAACATATTATTAGGGACGCACAAATTGATAAGAGGCGAACGAAGTGAAGTAAGGTGCTAATTCAAATATTTAAATTCAGAAAATAAGTTTTTAATATTAGGAGAACACGATTTAGCGAAGGTAGTCTAAATTCCGAAGTGGCGCGAATTTTTAAAATACAATTTTTCTCTTATACTTCTACATTGATAATCACATTTGTCCGTGCAATTGGATCAAATATCTCATGGTATTTCTTTCGGCAATACTAATCGTTATTTAAGTATTCAAATGCTTACGTTATTAATCAATTTGTGTAATTCGCGTTAAACTATAAAAAAAAGTCATGTTCTCTTACGAATGAGCGTATATTCAACCGTTGCACAACCGTTGTATTTTCTGAACGTATTCAATGACGTCAAAGCAAAGCTCTTACAGATAACGATCTGATAAGTTGCGCGCAAGTCGCATGTGTATAGTAAATCACTCATGTAGTAGTGATAGATATTAAATAATGCCTGTCGAGAACTTAACGAGTTTTTTTATGAATGTTACATGATTTTATTTCATCCAAATCACGTGCCACATTCTCAAGAAGAGTTGCGCATTGACTTCAGTAGTCGACACGCGTGGTTTTAAGTCACCAAAGTGTCATTTCTGTCGAGGCACTCTGCTTGATACACGAAGGTGAGCGAATCTTGGTGAAATATTTAATATAAATTCAGCAAATATATTTTAAAAATCGTATTTTCTATATGCGAGTGAACTTGTCAGAGACTTGTAATTAGATGACTTGGTAAATTAATAAAAGAAAAGGAATTACTGCTTTATAATATGAAAGTTAACTAAGAAACTAAAATATTGATATGATTTAGTGCTTAATAAGCATGATGTAACTACTAAAAGAACATTTGTATTTTTATTTTGGTAATATTTCTATAAAGATAATTGTTTTTTTTCTAAAAAAGGATTTAGATTGAGGTTAGGTATCAGTAGCATTTATGTATAATCAAAATTTAGATAATTCTGTTGTTCTCCGTTTTATAATTGACGGACATTTACTGTGTGATTTATAAAGTATATTAATTTGTTAATTTTACGATGCGAAAAAAAAAATTGAAAATCTATAATTGATACGATTGTAACTCATTGCCACGACCTTGAATCAGACGCAAGCAAAGTTCGCGTGGCACGGTCAAAATCAATACATCTCTGGTTCTGTAAAAATTTCAAAATTTTTATACTAATTAAAGAAAAACTTGTGTGAACTTTCATATATATGCAACGTACAAAAAAATACAATAGCAATTACAAATGTATGAGTGGAATGATGAAACACTTGTGATGTAACACAGACAAGGTTGTGTTTCTGCTCCGAGAATAATTTACGCGTGATTGTTAATTAGTTATAGATGTAATCATAGTACGATAAATCTATTCGGTTCTAATTTAATAATTTATATAGAAATGATAAATTTGTAGGAATAGGAAATAAGCTTTACCAAGAATAACTTATCATTTCAAAATCCCTCATTAGATATGTAATCTCTGTAACCAAGGAAATTTTTTAATTAATTTTCAGATTAGCAGAAATTATCACTGGTTCCTTTTTATCCAAAAATGGCCACTAGTGACAGTGACATTGTAGATCCGACTTTGTCAGAGAGATTATTAGAAAAAGGACGAAAATCACCATTTCTTATAGCAAGTATGTGTGCATACATAAGACATACGAAAATCTAAGTGATTAATTAAGACATTAATATCTGATGTATATATATTGCTTTCCTGAATAGGTTTAATAAGTTTGGCCGGCATCTGTGGCTATGGCGCTTATTCTTTTAAGAAGAGGAAAATATCGACGCAGTTATATCTGATACAACTGCGAGTTGCTGCACAAGGAACAGCGATAGCTTGCTTGACACTAGGAATGTTGTATCATATGTATAGAAAGCATATTTTGCATGATAAGAATGAACCATAATGCTGGACATTATAGTTAAATTGTTCCTTAAAGCGGCAAATTAAATTAAAAATATAAAGGAATATAAAGAGATATGTAGTGATAATCTATAACAATCACAAGTATAAATAATTTATTTTATTACAAGCTTAACATCCATTACTAATAAAACATAATTTTACTTAAAATGCGTCTCATCTTCAGTAACTAATGGTAATGAAAAATTGGGTGTTCATTAGGAACAAATTATTCTTCATGCCACAATAGATGTATCTTCATACTGTGCAGATTATGATTGTAAGAATTATTAAAAATTATTCAGAAATTATTAGAAATTTGTGATTTCAAAGAAGTAACTTATAATATAGTTTAAATAAGAAAATCAAAATTGTTTAGCACACTTGTTCAACACATGTTCAACACAATAAAATGGAATATTTCGTATGATGAAATTATTTATATTTTCTTATATTTGGAAATACTGTATTCCTTATGTAAAATATATGTAATATCCTAGAATTATCTAGATTTATTTATTTAAATTTGACTAGTTATAATGACAAATTTTAATTTGCCATTCAAATTTGTTTACGCAATGATTTAATCAATGTAAATGTATACGCTGAATATCATACATATGTGATATAGTTCAAAATTAATGCATAAAAACTGCAAGTAAATCACGACAGAAGTATTTATGTTACTTTTATAACGTTTTCGACTCATTTCGACGGAACGGATTTGGAGAACAATTAATAATGTCGTTGAATTGTTTCGGGCAAAAAAAGGCTTCACATTAAAATGGCGATTAATCGCTCTTGGATCGATTTAAATCCCTTCTGTTGTTACTTATTTGATTTGATTCTCAAAGATGCTAACACACACACACACACACACACACACCGATATGTGTATGTAAATGCTCCAGTTTACATGAATTCTTCCATTAAACACAACGATATAACAAATTGGATTTGATATAAACATCCAAAAATTGCACATATAGAAAACAACATGTCGAAATTGTTCCCGAACATTCTTTTATGTGCGGGATAGATTTCTAATAATTATACGTTCATGGAAATTGCATTTAAATGGCGTTACTCTTCAGAGCGCTTCAGAGCGATCCGACCGGCTTAGTCTGGCTCAGTCGAACATGTCGTAAGTTTCGTCCAGTTTCATGCAATTTCGCTGCTATATCGCACAACGTAATATCGTAGCGAAGTCGAATAAATGGTAGTGTATCGCTAACGGACTCGAGGGAGGAGAGTGATCGACGTAACATCCTCGCCGTAATTATCAAAACAACGCGGAACGCGGAAAGATGGCGGAACAGAGTGACAGAAGTCAATTACCGCCCGGTTGGGAATGCAGATACGACATTCGCAGCGGTCGTCCGTACGTAAAATTGCTACAGAATTTCGCCCCTTTGATCATTGATCTACTAGTAAAATTTTCTCGAAGCCAAAATCGTCCGGTATCGGTGAATCCGCGTTGCACAAAGTACAGTGTGTGCATGGATCTTAATACCTTAAGTCGCAGCTTCTCGAAAACAATAAACCGTCAATGTACAATTCATTAACAAAAGGGAACATTGACGAGGATGATATTTTTAACGCATGCCGATCGTGATACTTTGATTTTGAAGATTTTCTCTTTGATGAGTGGAATGGTTTAAAAATACTTATTGAAAATCGATTTGCTTGTTAATAGCAATGCAAAAAATTAAACACAGTTGTTGTCACTTTGCAGATATTTCATAAATCATTTCAATCGTACTACAACATGGGAAGATCCGAGAGTGAGATACTGGCAGTATTCCCAGTATATACAATCTCAGAGCTCGACAGCTCCGAGTTCAACCACTACTACTACTTCCCAGGTTATTCCTATGCAGGTCAGTTAACAATTAGTTTAACTCATGTACATGTATATATATGGTTTATATATGGCAGTGTTGATATTTATTAAAAGTAATTGTTGTTTGTTAAAAGCAGAAAAAAATCAGAACAGAGAGAATTATAGAGTAATGAGAAAAAATTGAGAAATTAAACCTTAATATTTATTTAGTACACATATTAAACTTTCTTCTAATATAAAAAAGAAAAAAAAATTAAAATAAGCTAAAGGATTATCTTGAAAAAATTATGGCATTTATTTGAAACTATTGTGACTGACAAATAATGTAACTTTTCTATTTGTGTTTTAAAATGTTTCTAAAGAAACAGATCAGTTTTTCCATATTTAATACATTGTTTAAGTAATTTTGAAAAGATTTTCCTTGTGTATTAATATTTCACTGGTTATAAGTGTACACAGTGTACTACACACTTCAATCCTTATTGTGAATCCTTCATTTTCTAAGAATTAAGATTATGAAATAGAAATAATAATTAAAAGAATTGTATTGTTGTTGAAAAATGAAAGTTCGTCTAAACTCGAGATGTCACTCTCCTTGATACTTATTCAGGTACTTGTTGACTTTTCATGTGTACATATAAAAATGTCCTATCTCGCACTTAAATCACATCATACATTATCACACTGTAAATATGTATTCTTGTGATATGCACACGCTGCATTTGGATAACGCACACAATATACCACAAATAAATAGAAGGAAGGAAGCGGAGGCGGTGGGCACTTGAGTTATACGGGTGCTCACAGAGCTCCACAAATTTATCCGACACCGTCCCCTTATCATAATCCACAACTAGCATTTTTACCTCCTAGTGCGCAGGTAACTAGATATTTATACTGAGCCGACCTCACACTCATGAATCATGCATGCACTTTATCAGTAAGTTAGTTACTGCCGTCCGCGACAGTCTTACTTCTATCGTTATGTAATCAGAATCGTGTGTGTATGTGCAGGATCTGAAAACTCCACTATCGCTGAAATCCACCAGTGCAGTGACAACTCGATTCGGCGATTTAACTTTAGGATCTCCGACTCCAGTAAAAAATACGGAGACGAGCTTTATTCAAAATTCCGACTCCGAGTCGCAAGTGGCAAAGATCAATGCTGTGTTTCCGACGGTCTCTGACACGCACATTCGTCTTTTACTGAAGAAGTAAGTTTTTTCATACGAGTAAAATTCAAATTACAACTCTCTCAGCAAGCATTTTCCATCTGAAATTTTTCAATTCGATACTGATTTGTCTAACATTTTTCATAAACAGTATTAATGTCAATGCCTACATTAACATATGGAAAGTACATACTGCGTACATAAAATACTTAATTTTACAAGTACATTCTCCCTTAAGAGCCCTCCCTCTGCAAGCCACTTTCCCAAATTAGCGCTGTGTCAGATTTGGTGCTAAGTCGACAGCCAATGTCTTTCAGATACCACAACAGAGCAGCTTTGGTCATGAGTGCTCTCCAAGTGGAAAAGAATCCTCTTTGTGCCCCAGGACCATGTACACCTGTGGGAGTGCATTCAAATTATGCAATCCCGAGATGGCGTCTACCGGCTCACGCTATACACGCAGCATTAACATTGAGTCCGCCTCGCGGGGTTCGGGCAGCCCCAAACTCCCCAAAAATGAAACTTAGGTTTAACCTACGTATACATAATTTTTCAGTCTCTCTCACCCAGTCTGGATGCTAGATGTTGATATCGTATCTTGTGACAATTCCGAGGAAATATACCAGACAATATAGGAGCACTGCTTTTTTTCGCATTGTCATAGCTGTCTGATATATTTCGCGGATATACATGACATTATCAGTATTATGTAGCAGTAGCATGTACGAAATTTATAGATTTCCTTGAATTAGACATTAAGTATTAGAGATGCAATGAATTACGTATAAATTGGCCGGCTGCAAATTCCTAAATAATTTGTGTCATGCACGGTAGCAAATATTTCATAATGTAGTCTCAGAACCAGATTTGTATTATCATTAATCTCACTGTCTTACTTTTGTTACTCTTTTATTGCTTTCATAAAAAAGATTAAAGGATTATTTTCTTTGAATTGATCCAATTTTGTGACATTTGTTACATAGATTTTGTTTTATCTTTCAGTTTCTTCCCGGTAACAGTAACATAGATGTTGGATAGTATGAAATATATCCTATCTAGAATAGGTTGGTTTTTGTTTATATTATATTAATTTTGTCCCTTAACGGCACAAATCGAGCAGCTTATATTATTAATTTGATGTCATTGTTTTGTTAATGTATTGTTACAAATTTTCAAAGGAATAAAAGAGTTTCTTACGTATTTATATTAAGCGTTACATTCACAATATTTGTTTTTAAATACAAAGTTGATTTAAAAATTATTTTATTTATACATGAAAAGGAACTCATTTATTCTGAAATAAAATAAAATTTAAGCATGATAGTATGCGCATGTGCATTGTAGTCTAAAAAAACTTGGGCAAAATTGAATGTGTAGCATTATTTATTGTTGATTCGTGAAAAAGGGAAAAGAAAATTGATCACAAATTGATTTTTAGACATCAATCGCATGTACATACTATAAGTAACGTTAATTATTGTATCCTTTATGTGTTATATTTATTAACTTGTGTACACGCGTCACATTTAAATACGATTATGCTAGATTATTCATTTTTTAGATGAATTATAATTTGAATACTATTGCTCAAAGATATATCAAATACATATGCAATGCATTATGTCTATATGTTGCGCACACATGCAATAATATAATTATATTAAACATTCATATGTTTGGATTGTGTGCACAGGTACCTGAAGAATGTATTTCCAAAAGTAGACGAAACGATATTGCTGGATATGCTGGAACAGAGTGATAACAATGTGCAAAAGGCGTCCGACAAACTGATCGATCTAGGTTACGAAAAACGGAATCCTACTCTTCCTGCCAAAGCTTTAGCGAGAAAGAAAGAAGAGGAGCAGGTAACGAATTGAAAATCGACACGCCGTTGCGTTTCGTGTAATACGCACAGTCTCGTTTATCGAAAGAATCAACTCATTTTACAGGGACAGATTGAGCCAACGGCGCCGACACCTCCTCCGCGTATTAAAAGTATGGAAGAAAAGAATAAGAGTACGTATATACTGCAATGCTCGCAGTTTCCGTTTTCTTCCTGTTTTGCTGCGAAATGTACTATAAAAATATAAAATTCTAGTAAAAACACGTTTAATGGAAAAATATAAGACGGTTCCCGATCGAGTGCTGTTGCTTGCCATGGATAGTGTGGATTACGACGAGGAAAGAGCAATACATATATTAGATATAGTAATGGCAGAGGAAGCTACTCGGCCAATATGTACTTCTAGTAGCCAAAGGTAAGATTTTACTTTTCCATAATATAGAAAAGCGGGCGCAGCATGCAAATTTCCCTCGCTCTTCTCACAAGTCGTGTGAAATATTGCAGTAGCAGAAGTGACGAACGAAAAGATAGCCCGCCGGTGACAGAAGCTATCAAATTAACCGCTTCCCCAATTAAGAAGAAGATGAATAAAGACGCAGAGACTGAAAAGTCGAAACGGTCCAAAAATAAGACTGAGATACCGAAGTAAGCTAATCGTATCCTTTCAATCCTTTCCGAGTGTCCTCTATAAAATTTGGAGATGTACTTGTTGATGCTTTATTCAAATCTAAAGTCAAAATACATAATTCAAAATGACGGATCTAACGTGGACCGAATTTAAAAAAAAATAATTACTTTGAAACTCGGTTTTGGGAAGTTTTTACTGAATTCGAATGGAATCTCAGAGTTTTGAAATTTTAATTGACAAACCAACTCAAATATAGTGGGCCAAATTTTAGAAAACAATCGAATTGTGTTGAAATTCGATTTTAGGATGTTTTTGAGGTTTTTGCTCAAGTGACATTTGAGTTCAGCGATCACAAAAAAAACCCTGAAATCGAGTTTCACGATAATCGGACTAATTTTGTTGAAATTCGATCTGCCATATTGGATTCGCCCTTTTGAATTTTGGAATTCTAAAACCACAATCAAATTTAGAAACTCTAAAAATCTTTAGAAAACAAGACTTTTATACAAGTTACTTTGCTAAAAACTTTCCGAAAGAGAGTTAATCACACGCTCATCCTTTTTGCATTCCAGCTCGGAAAATACGTAATATTTTATTTTAATATTTTGTGTATCAGAGTTTCACGGGGAACCAGCACTACAGAGGACAAGGAATATAAATCGCCATATTTAATAAAACCAGTCGGAACAAACTCGGATTTACTAAAAGGAGCGAATAATGATCTGTTGTTGTACGTTGAAAGGATTATTATATATATATATATATATATATATATCAGGCTAGAAAGAGAATTCTTTCACGTGTCTTCGCGTAATATTAACGAGACAAAAATTTTTCAGGCCGGACTACGCGCCATGGACAGGACCAGATCCAAGTCTATTGTGTAAGCAACCATTTTCAAAGTCACTTGCCGTAGGACGCGATGGAAGTTTACTTTCTAAAAATAAAAGTTGCCTCGCTAAAGGTCCCCAGTCCGAATTACGAAAAGGGCCGTTAAGGGGATTGGCCCAAGGTTCCATTTACTCGCAGAGGAATGTAACCAATACGGAGAGTCGCGGTAAATGAGATATGTGCAATTGTTTCTTTCTTGACATTTTTGCCTTTGTTAAATAGTTAGGCGTTGAGTCCTAATTTAGTGCAATCGTACAGCCGTCCCGAGTTTAGGACATCACAATTATTTTATATTTCAAATATTTTTATATCATTGATTTCTTACTGGAATCACACTAATCTATTACGCATATATTTTTTTATCGTATAATTTAATAAAGAATTTATGTTGTTTAATAAATTTATTGCGTGTACTTATCATTTACATTAAGTTGTCAATATTGATTCGTGATAAATCTATTTTTATTTATTGCATGTGCCATCAATTTAGAAAGTGGCGTAGACGACAGAAAATCTTTAGAAGCTTCGTCAATTTTAATGACAGGCAGACGCACTATCTGCGCTGCATCTTGATTATGCCAAAACTTTTTTCAATTACTGTTAGTTGTGAGATCTGTATTTGCATGTACAGAATATGTCAGAAAGTTTTTTCCGAACGATACAGCATGATTGGAACACAATGTACGGTATATTTTCCAGTGGCAAATACGTTATTAAATCTTCCCTCTTACAGTTATACTAGATATCATAGAAATTCTATTCTGATACATTATAATAACTTAAAGTACATACACTATTTAAATTTTACAGCATTTTCATCTTTGACATATCTTATGTGTATAAAATACGCCGGAGCTCTTAGTACATATTTGAGTATTGACAGAGAAACTCAATTTGATTACAATTATGTGTGTATAATATGTGCGTAAGTAAATAATGTGTAAATGATGTCTTTTTTAAACTTTTCTCCATAAATATGGACAAGTTTGCTAAAGATTTTGACATCAGTATTGTTCATTAGTCATTCATGGGGCTTAAGAGTTAGTGCTAATTTCCGACAGTGTTCTAAAGTATCAACTGCTATACAGTTTTTTTTTTTAATTAAATACGTGTGCTCACAGTTGCATAAATATAAACAAAATTAATTTATAGTTGGAAACCAACATCTTTTGTCAGAATTTTATAAAAAAAAGTGCTATACGTTATACCACACCCTTCCTATCAATGATACTTTGTAACAATCCCGGGAATTAGCACTGATTTATCGATCCTAATAATTTTATATGTGGCCGTTAGTATAATGAAAGTATTTTACATTATTAATATTTCTTGAAATGTATTAGTATCGTGTTGATTTTGTAAAGTAAGTAATTATATATATATGTATATGCATTGTGTTCTGAAGAATTTATCGATATTAAAATGCATAATTATTTTTATTTACTGAATTATTTTCACAGATAAAATACAATTTTATTATTATTACTAAAATAAAATTTCTTTATACATTCTTGAGTGAGAAAAAATAAAGATTAAAAAAAAATTACGTACAACAGGTGGAAACTAAATGTTTTAATATCGATGAATTCCTTAATAGCAAATGGTCTTTCTTTTTCTTACTATAATAGTTATATTCAGAGTGAAGATACTATCTGAAATCTGAAGCCAAACATACAGTATTAAATATATATTTTAATGAAACATAGGTATGAAAAGAAATTCCATTAGATGGATGTATATTTATAGATATGTTTTATAAGCTTGTATTATAAAACAGATAGAAACGAAATGAGTAAAGATATGGCAGAAAAAGTGGCATATCTGTATGCAGTAAAACCTTTATCGATTAAAATTCAGAGAATGGGCCATAACCAAAAGAATAAAAAAGGAAAAAAAAAAGGTTTCTAATAGTAAACTATAATATGAAAATTAATATTTATATATGCTATAGCCAAATTTTAATGTACAGAAATATTTTCATAGCTTGATTCAAGAATAATCCAGCCTTTACGAATATTTAAGATATGATTAAAATGTTAATAACAGATGGGCTGTGGCTGTTAGTTGAGAGCTATTTTTATAGCTTTTTGACTCTTGAGAACAAATTACAAGGTATAAAGTAATATATTTTGACTATATTTTGAACATTGTCATTGGTACAGAAAACTAATATGTACAAGTAGATTACACGTCCTTCGATAATATTAGCCATTTTTCTATTAGAAGTAACACCTCCTGAATGTACGTATTATTCCTTGCAAAAAAAAGTATTAGTTGGATCTCTCATATGTGTGCACGTAAAAAATTTCACCTTGTCATTCCACGAAGAGGATAATTTTAGAAATTTATTTTTAGTAAACATATTTTAATTGAGATAGTTTTACATTCCATGGAAAAGCGATCGAACAGCAGAAATAAAAGTTTGTAACGTTTGTTTCGTGTATAGGTAATTAAATTACGTATTATAAAGGGTTTTGTGCAATAAATGTTTGTCATTTTGTGCTACTATATATACATCTTAAAGAATTCTGTCTCAGAGATATGTTCTTGTAACTGATAAATTATTACATTTGCACACATGATCACACGAGTAACTCCGGCTGCTTGATATAGTTGAAGCTTAAAAAAAAAAAAAAGATTGCTGACTCCAAGCTGTGTAACTGTGTTACATATGTGCATAATAAATATTTTGTCAATAAGCATATTTTTCATATATCAACCAGTATTATCCAAGAAGAACATATGCTGGAGCATACTCTATTCTACTTATAATTGAATGTATTTTATTGTGACATTGTTACAATGGTTTACTGTGTTCTATAACTATGGGAAAACAATTGTATCAAAATATTACATTCCTAGAAGCTCACTCCGATAATGGAATAGATAATACTCAAGCGAATATTATCCGAGTAGCAATATACACGTGATGTAAATGAAAAAAAAAAAAAAATGTATGTTAATCATATTGCAGATGATACAAGAAATTGTATTTCATTGTCTCTAGACATATCTGTGCAATAAAATATCCGTATAATCGTATTACGTATACAGAAATCTAATTTAATTTAAGTTGCCTATGTAAGAGCTGCTAATCACACACGATTTAGGCCAGTTAAATAAGAACAATTCTTCTCATTTAATAGAACAAATTATTGGGAGCAACTCTATTTGTTTCTTTCCTATCTGACATCTTAAAGTATACAAAGTACGATATAACAATGTCTGATGTAAGCTATTTACAAGAAAAACAAAAAATTTTATATTTTTATATTATATATATTTTATAAAAAAAACATCCACTTTAGATTTAAATTGTGTTTATATGTAAACTTATTTCGCACTTCCAAAATGTTTCAAACAGCATCTTTTAGCTTGGAAACATGCAAACTGTTAAATAATACTGTCTAATAGTATACTCATCGAATATATTTGAATTACTGAAAAATAAATGTTATATCTTTTACATGCTCGTTTCTAACTAAACACGCTTATTTCCAAGTTACTTGAGATGGAAGCTTAGAAAATTTCTTCTTTCATACATATATAAATTTCATATACCTCCTAAATTATTCAAACTCCGAGTCGATTTTAAATTGTACATATCTAATTTCATTCTTTATCGTTAGTAAATTATACAAAGTGTTTAATATATCAATACAAAAACGTTAAATTAATAGAGAAGTATATATAATATAGATATGTATGTATGAATTATTTAACAACTATAATAATAAAAGGTGACAATAATATTCTTGGAATATTCGGTTTCTGTTACTTAAACTTCATCTTCGTTTAAAAGCATATTTGGAATGCCATCGTTAATGGGAAATTTTCTACCGGATTCTGGACACAACAATTCTCCGTTTATAACTTCGACTTCCAATAAAACGTGGTGAACTTTTTTCAAAAAATCCTCGTTTGACTCAAAATCTTCTATTAAAATCTGAGGTAATTCACCGACATGTCCTATCTATAATAAAACGTTTGCCACTGTAGTATTATTATGAAATCATTTATGCGACATTTCAGTGGAACATCGGAGAAAGTAAACTCACGCTCTCTGCAGCTTTCCACAGTACTGTCCAGTCAAGTTTGGGGATTATCCTAGCGATGTATTCCGGATTGAAATCTACTTCGGATACCCTGATGTCTCTGGCCTATAAATTTTTACGAATATCTTTTAACGACACAAATAGGTAAATTACTTTTTGACACAATTAGATGGATTATTAAGAAGAACAAATAAAAAAATCAGAACCAGATAAAATGTGTTAAAAAATTAAAACAGGCACACAATCTAGCGAAAGCGGCTAACCTATAAAAAAAAAGATATCTTACGACAATTCTCAGAGGATAACCGACTGTGACACCTTTCATCGCCCTAGATGTTAACATGTTGTGCGTGAGGAGTTTCATGTTTCTTTGCACTTAGAAATTGACAAGAATTATTTAGTCAACACAACAAAACACAATACAAATAATAACAGAGCAAACACCAGGAAATCTAAGGTTTGTTCGCGTCGCATGCCCAACATGCTCCAATACGCTCCAATCTATAGTATATGTAATCTATAGTATATGCAGAGAGAAACCTAAGAGCAGAGAGAAGACTGAGAGTGGACCGCTTTTTTTGTGTTCTGTGGGCTAGCGCCTCTATGTGCACAAAACGTGCACATTGAACTACGTAGCCAATGTCCACGAATCCCGTAGGTAATGTCCACGATCTTTTGGGTCTCTTCCGTGCTATGTCCACGACTTTTTGGTTCCGATATGTGAGGTCTATATAGTTGGCCCCCCCTCTAACGCAAATCGTAAAAACATTTATATATTTGGATTGTACATTGTTTGTACATGAATGTACTATGATTTTTATCGTTTGTACATTTTTCGTTAATTTAAAAAAAATTACAAAGTTTTCGTAACTGTGCCAATGATAGTTAGCCCCCCCTATGTCGCAATTACATCACGTAAACTATAACTTATGAATTTATCGTGCTTAATCGTTTGTACGTCGTTTGTACATTATTAATAATCGGTTAAATTTATAATTCCAACATTTGTTTTTGTTTAAAACGCAAGATAAATAATTTTTATTTGAATATGGCGGGTACGGAGTACGGAGCGGGTGCGCATGCGTGTGCGTGCGTATGCGCGCCTGTGCGTGCATATGCGTGTATGTGCGTGCGTGTGTGTGCTGCATGTATCGTGTAGGTGTGTATGCGAGTGAGTGGTGGGTGTGTACGTGCGTGTGTATACACACACACAGCATATACCCACACATACGCACACACCCACTCACACACACAGCATCACATTAGACGGCATTATATCACGGCTATGTCATCACAGCATAGCAAAAGTTAAAAGTTAAAGACTTTTAAAATATCTCTAGACGAAAAACTATTAATTTTTAAGCTTTGTTCCCATTGAGACTTTCGATCAGCATCAATATTATCGAGTATAGAAAATCAGAAAAACTGTCGAAATTTCTTAAAATCTCCTAACATTGAAGAAATTGTATATAATAATATTAATAATCAAATCAGTGATCAAAAATTAAGTAAAGAGAAAAAAAATGTAAAAAAAAGATGTAGTTATTATTATAAATCTGACTTGGGATGCTCGGCAAGCCTCTTCATTTTGACATCTAATTATTATTGTAGATAAGGTTTTGATTAAAAGAAAGAAATTTTTCAACAAATATTTGAAACAATAGATTTTGATGGTAAAATTTAATGGATAAATCAAATAAATACTTATACTGTTACAGAATCATTAAATTAATGCAGTTGGTATTATGTTACAGGATCATGCAGATCTTTGTGAATATTTTTGGAGAAATACCATCACTGTCGAGGTTGAGGAATCCGATACAATAGAAATCGTGAAGGAAGAAATTTACTTTATAGTAGGTAAGAAAATGTTTAATATAAATATCTACTTTAATCTACTTTTGAGAAGAGAGAAAGAAAGAGAGAGTAGTTATATGTTACATATATAACTATATGTTAAACTTATAAATGAGGTTTGTTATTAGATTTGTTATTAGAATAAAAGAATAAAATTGCATAATTTAATTTTGCACATTTAAAATATATTTTACAAAACTGAGTCGGAGATTTTTATTATTTTTATGTAAAAGAAACATTAATTATCTCGAGTTTTATATTTTTTAATAAAAAAAATGACTTATACTAGTCTAAATATCTATTGATAAAATCATGATAAAATCTATATACAGGGTGTTTCATACTGAACGCATTATATGGTAATGGCACATTCATGAGATTATTTTGGGATGAAAATCCTAACATTGAAATGTCGAGGCTATAAATAGTTTTTAAATGGGAAGCATTTAAAGTTGATTAATCAAGTTGCTTCAAATTCGCGCGCTCAGGTATAGTATATCACATAGAAATGAGAATATCTACAGATCAATTTGCAGATTGATCTAAAGATATCTTCATTACTATAGGATATGTCATGCCAGACCCTCGATGCGGGACAGTCTGTATAATAATATATACATGTTTATTGAGGTTGATGTTAATTACTTTGAAATAACAAAAAACATTTTATTGTTTTAGGAATTCTTCCGTCTATACAAAGTTTGACTTATGGGTGTTATAAAGAAATGGAAGACCAAAGGACTTTGTCAGATTATAATATTCAAACAAAATGTACGTTCTTCTTGGATTTTGTTCACGGGGTATCAGAATACTCAAAGACGCAGCTGAGAAAGTTGGTTAAACAATATATAATGTATAACTAGAAATGTATAATCATCTGGTTGCAATTGCTGGATTCACACTGGAAAGAAAGATTGTTTTATATAAAACAAATTCTCCTATTGGATATCGGACGTCGTACGTCGGAAATCGGACCCAGTGTGAATACAGCAAATGCGGCCTTCGTAATCATGGGGGTTTCAGAAAGGTTATAGGTAGCTATTGAGGTGGGTTTTTTAGCTGGTAGGCGGCCTGGTTGACCATCTGGGTATATGAGATATCTGGGAGTTGAATCGTTTTCAGAGGGGAAGATCCGGGATGCCACTCGCATGGGATCTCCGGATCGAAACTTTTGAGAAGGTAAAGATTCTCAGATTTGATTATGCCTGGATATAATTCCAGGTTGAATCCAGCACTCCCCCTTGGTACGGGCTAGGGGCGGGTCTTTGGAAGATTTTTCCCATCTCCGAAAAAAAAAAAAATTAGTATAATAAAAAATATATGTAATTACTATGTCTTTAATCTTACTAGCCACTCTTTGCAAGTTTTATATAATCATGATTGAAACTTAAATGCGAGATAGATTGCGCAACGCGCGTCGCATAGCGGTAAACGAACGAACTAGCAATTACCGAATATTGCTTTTGTAATGTTTTTGGAATGTTGCTGTCACATTCTCACGAAATATTACAATTACATGTTCCAATAATGTCTCAACAATATTACATTGCAACTTGCAAAATTGTAACATTGCTGCAATGTAATTGCAATGTTCTGTGCTGTATGGGATGTTACTTTAAAATTTAATTATCGTCGATTAAATATTTGATTAAATAAATGTAAAAATAATTTTATATACATTATATAATGAATATATACATATATATAAT